GTAGGTAGGAAGAAAAAGCATGCTTTTTTTTTTCATAAATATATTCAGGTTTTTTATAATTAGCATATGGTTTTTGATAAAGATTCTGGTTTGCAATGTAATTATTTTAGATAGTGAAATCAGAAGGATATTAATTTTTCAGATATTTATTTCTTAATGCCTTTTTCATTCCTATGTTGGTTTTATGCTTTTGTTTTACTGAGGGCAGTGAGAAGGAAGAATTGGGAAGGGATAAAGATATGATCTAACAAAGGAAGTAGTTGGTTGGTATAGAAATTAAACTACACCATTTGCTTTCTGAAGTAATTTAGAGATGTTTTATAGGAAGAAGCCTTTGTTTTCACCGTCACAATTTTGGACTTTCAGTTAGAGAAAACCTCTAGTTTACTAATGTGTTTGCCAAGAGTGCATAATGAATTTATCAACATACTGCAATAAAAAATCCTTGACTGTCAGGGAGATGGAATAGTTGACCTATTATTTTAAACTTGAAATTATCTAACTTTGCAGTATGCGAATACAAAGGCATAGGAACTGAAATGCCGGAGCTCTTGCATGACAACTGAAAAACAGACATTGACAACAAATGTTAGATGTATTCCTTTTTCATTATGACATTTGTTTATTACTAAACTGAATGAGGAGAACATTGTGACACAAGTACTTTGTTCTGTCCAGTAATAACGGGTTGTAAGCATTTCTGAAAACACAGGGAGAGAGCCATGGATTCAGAATATTAAAGCACACTCATATCACTTGTGATGACAATAATAGTGTCTACTGCCAATTTGGAAACCAAAGGGTGTGAAGAATTCTGTAAAGAACTAAGATTTATCTAGTGAAGACTGCTGAAAAAAGATTATGCCCATTTCCCAAGTCCTAATAAATTTGGATTGACAGGCTAACTGAAAAGATAGCCTTAGGGAGAAGCTTGCATTCAGGGCATGAGGTTAACTGAGGAAAAGACAAGTTTAAAACTGAGGCATATGACTTCACAGTACAAAATTTGATTTTACAGAGAACCATTCTGACAGAGAATCAGGAGCTAGAGGGCTGGTGCTATAAGAAGATTTTTATAGGCTCTTTTGTGATCAAATATCCACATAATTATAAAAACTTAGATTGGAATTTAAAACACATCGCTTGGGAGAAGTATTTGCCAACCCTATATACTAACACTAAAAAATAAAGTGGTGAATAGATGCAGATGTAGCAGAAGTCCAAGAAGACAATGGCAAGGTTCATTAAATCACTGCATATTTGGACAATTCCAGATCATTTCACTAGCATCATTTGCATCAGTATGACAAGGAGGCAAGACTGGGACTTCCATCTCTTGACAAGATTTAGTGCAGTTTGCCGATTTGCTCATCACCACCTTCCTTTGCTAGTGTAAATTGCCATTATTTTCCTTTTTAAAAGACTTGTTCTACTATGTGCTCAGCACAAAGCACAGTCCTTGAATTGAAGAACTTTACTCTAGGGAAAAGAGACTGAATAGGGACAGTAAACAAAACTCCAAGGAAAGAGTGTCAGGGTAACTGTTATGTTTTTTAAATACATAATACTATTACTAAAGTTGCTGAGGTTATTATAGGCAGTTCAAAGAACTGAATCTGTGAAGGATTTAAAAGAGAGAAGGAAAGTGACTTGATGAATTTGAGAAGGAACAAGAATATGAGCAGTGAGTAGGCTGCAGCTGAAGAGGTACTAAATGGTATTTACATAACCAGCAGAGCTAGGAGAAGTAATAAGAGCCAACTGTAGTTGTATAGAAAAGAAACAAACATAAAGACCTTAGAAATTGGATGTGGGTATATTATAAGGAATTAAATTGAAATCATGTCACAAACAAATGGTAGTGTAAGAAGAACATGTTCCTTTAATTTTTAAAGTAATATGTTCTTTAAGAATATCTATATAGCTTGTATGTGAATTTCAGCAAACTCTTAAACCATGGATTACTTCATGGTAGAAGCTACTTAATTATGGTTTTATGAAATTAAAGATGGTTAGGGCTAGATTCTGAGAAGCTTAATAACGTGTAAGTATTGTCTTATTGCCATGCCCTGTGCTGACAGAAACTATATTAGCACAAATAATAATAGTATTATTACTGTTTACATTGTGAAATCAGTATTTGTCAGGCTTATTGGAGAAGGCAAAACCTGCCCTTCTTCTTAGTGGGTTTAAAAGCTTTTGGACCCTCCAGTAAATTTAATTTTTAAATCTATTATAATTCTCTAGTCAACTTTGTGTAGTGGTTTTTACAATATTTATGAGAAAAGAATCAAGGATACTATGAAATCGTATCTTTTTTCTCTAGTCTATTTATGCAAAATGTTACCTTGTATATTTAATTACTTACGGGCTCCTGATAATACTAACATCGTAATTTTCTGTGGGCCAAATTTCCTGGTGTATTACTTCTATTTTAAGTTTATAAAAGACAGTTCACAACATGCTTATGGCTTCTAATATTGTTTTTTAAGAAGAAAAGTTGTTGATCATTAAAATGGAGGAAACTATAGTAACAATTCCAGATAAACCCCTCTAACACATATTTGCAAGAAAACTATCCTATATTTTACACATGCTTCAAAAGAGAGGTTACTTTTATTTGTATTTCTTTATTAGTGCTTCCCAGACAAATTACATGTAATTGGAGTACTTTAAATCCTGTGGAGGAGCATAATCTTACCTGAAGGATTATGTTTTAATGCTTTTTTCCACAGAAGAAATAAACCTAAACAGTCTCATACAGTTTGGAGTTGCAAAGAGTATAGTGACTATTGGGGACTTCAGTGCATTTGGAGACAGCTAATAAATTGATAAACTGCATTTATTGGGCCAATATTGCCAAATACTTTTAATAAATATTTATTTGTGTCAAATACTAGTACTCACTAGTTTGGTCATTTTCTATAAACATAGAATAATAAATACACAAAGCAATTGCTGGATGACCTGAATGCTAATGCATGCATTCTTGCATTTCTTGTGCCTGAAACAAAACTTGTCAGTCCAAGAAAATTATTTTGTACATTAAATAGCCTCTCCTTAGTTGCATTTTAACAAAATTAGCCCACAAGAGCTTTTCTTACTACATTTTGTTTCACATGCAATTGTCATTTCATCTACAATTTTTGTAATTTATATTTCATTTATAGCTTAATCGGCTATTTTTTTTCAAAAGGGGCAGCATCATAGTAGTGATTCAATTCTTTTAAAAACAATTAAAAACCAAGGACATTGTAAAGCCTTTTAACAATGGGATTTGGGATTGAAGTATGCAGATAGACTTCACAAATTGATATTTGGGCAAATTTTAGATAATTCCAGAAAGTTTTTGAAACCACCTAGTCTCAAAATTTCTTTATTTCAAAAGGTGCCCAAAATCATAGTATCCTGGACATACCTACTATGCACAGAAGCTTTACTAAACACTAATGCACTCAGAAGTATCCTTGTTGTGATGTGAGAGCTGAGCACATAAGCTCTATTGTTAGAGATGAGTAGAAAGATGCCCCACTTCTGGTTAACTACCTTGAAAAGCCATTTGTGGACTTATCATGACCAAACCTTATCACTCTGTGGGAAATGCTGTATCAATGACAGTATGCTGGCATCACCAACTGTTAAGTACTCTTGGTAGGAGTGCATTTGTTGAAGTTAGGCGCCTCTTTACACTGAAAAAGGCAGGTTACATGAAGTCAGAATGAGAGCAGGGCGTCTGGTGCTTACACCCTTGTAATTTGGGCATTCTTTGCTGGTAGGGGCAGAGCTGGAGTTCCAGTCTGTGATTTACATGTTACTTCATTTATTACTATATTGCTTGTTAGTATAAAATGCATTAATATTTCTGGGGTTGCACACTTCTGCCAGATACCCCTTCTTCTGACTAAATGCCATATATTCTGGGCAATTGATTATATATCATTGGATGTTCTGAAATATTCAATGGTATATAGCTGATCAGTCATACTTATTATCCTAATGTTATCAGCAGTATTGCCTATATAATTACTAATAGAACATTTTTTTCTCTGTTTTTCATGTACTTCATATTCAATAGGTCATTAAGTTCTCTAAATCAGAGAAGTACAATAACTGAATTGCTGAGACCTTCCATCATCTCAGTAAAAGGAGTTCAGAACAAGCATACAAAGATTTTAATGTACAGCATAGATTTCTTATCCTCCAGCGAAGCACTGGACTAGTTTTGCACCAGTGAATTAAAGCTTCCCTATCTATTCTAGTATCCAGAAGATCTGGACTTTTTCTTTCAATACTTTCCTTGTTTAAAATTTCCTTTTGCTATTCTAGAGAAACTATACCCAAATCCCACTGGAAACAGTGTGATTACTCCTCTCATATAGTAGCTAGGCAACTGGAAACAAGATCTTTCGCACAGATATAAGCAGTTGTCCTTTTTTTCTGATTTTCTGGGAAGAAGAGTAAAAGGAGACAGTGTGCATCAGGGATTTAGTGGTAAAGAGAGCAGACAGGTGATCTTCCTTTAGGGTTACAGCCATATTAAATTTGTACACTGATACATATCCACAAATTCAAGAGGGGAAGATAACTTCTGGAGATAAACACAGAGAGCCATGAGGCACAGTTGGTCCCCTTTTACTCAGATTTACAAATTTAGAGGCACCTATTAATAGATTATAGAGGCTTTAGAAAACAATAGATATTAGAAATACATAAGCAAACTTTGTATATAAAGGTCATCGATACTTTGGAACAATGTAATTGCTGTTATTCTCACAGTGTATTTTTATATTTGTTCAGCTCAGTTTTCTGGAACCTGACATGCTTCATTTCTGTTAGAAAGGTGTTATGGGTCTTCCTGAAAGAGCAGTGAACAAAGAAAATAAGTTCTCAGTATGCATAGTATTCAGATTAAAAGTATTCATCTGTATCAGTTGAAAATGCCATGTGATTTTACTGTTAAGTTTTCAAATAAGTAACTTCCTATGTTTGTTGTATCACAGGTACAGGAGTGGCTGTGCTTAAACTGCCAGACCCAAAGGGCAATATCAGGACAACTTGGGGATATGGGCAAGGTGCCGATTCCGAAAACAGGTCCTTCACAGCCAGTATCCAAACCACCTGCTACTCTTCAAAAACAGCCTATGCCTGCTGTCTCACATTCCCCTCAGAAGACTTCCACACCGCCTACTTCAGCAGCAGCAAAACCGAAAGAAGAACCAGGCGTTCAGAAGGAGGTTCCAAAACTTCAGCAGGGGACACTTGAAAAAACATTGTTAGCTGAGAAAATCCACCAAGGAATTCAAAAAGAAGATGCAAAACTTAAGCAGGGAAAACTTGTCAAGACACCCTCAGCTGATAAAATCCAACGTGTTTCTCAGAAGGAAGACCCAAGACTCCAGCAAACAAAACTGACAAAGACAGCCTCTTCTGATAAAATTTTGCACGGAGTTCAGGAGGATGCAAAATTTCAAGAGGCAAAACTGGCAAAAACATCCTCAGCTGATAAAATTTTGCATGGAGTTCAAAAGGAAGACATAAAACTTGAAGAGGCAAAATTGGCAAAGATACCCTCAGCTGACAAAATTTTACATGAAATTCAGAAAGAAGACCCAAAACTCCAACAAATTAAAATGGCAAAGGCACTATCAGCTGACAAAATTCAACCTGCAGCTCAGAAGGAGGATGCACAACTTCAAGAGGTCAAATTGTCAAAGACAGTTTCAGCTGATAAAATCCAACATGGAATTCAGAAAGAAGATCCAAACCTTCAACATGAGAAAATTATGAAAACTTCATCCCTGGAGAAAATCCAACAGGAAGCTCAAAAAGAAGAATCAAAACTCCAGCAAGGGAAACTGTCAAAAACACTTTCAGCAGACAAAATTCCTACAACGGTGAGTTCAGAGCAAAAGAAGCTCCTAAGCACTTTGGAAGAAGATAAAAAACCTGTGCTCCTGGACCCAGAAAAGAGCATACCACATCCAGAGGACAAAAAAGAACAAATTACAGCTGAAACTAAAGACCATGTTGCTGAACAGAAAGCAGAAGTTGAAGCGCTTTATAAGGGACTGCAAGCTAAGAAGCAAGAGGATGTTAAGAAAGAGGGTTTGACAACGGGGATTTCACAAATGGTTTTGAAAGGTGAAAAAGCTCAAGAAGAAGAAATTCCTGATCAAACAGCACCTTTGCCAGGAACTGACCATGTAGAAGCAGTGAAAGGAAAAATAGTAAGTGGCTTTCTTGTTCCCGCCCCCCTTCTCCCTGTTGCAATTTAGAATCTGATCCTGACAGACCCTCTCCATTATGTCTTCCTGCTCTTTATTGTTATTCTCTGTATGGGATGATTCTAAATGATAAAATCAATGACACCACTTAGTCCTATAATCTACATGCCACTTTTCAATACTTCTTGCATGATTTTCAGTCTTAAACAGTTAAGCATTTGAAACTAAGGCAAAATTCACGTTTAATCATTTTTCTAGTATTTCTGATTTACTTACCTGCTTCTGTAGACTCTCCAGACTTCGGAGTTTAATTGTTGAAATTGGAATGTTTTCATAGTTCTTAATCCCAAAAGGGAATAATTTGTGATGGTAAGGCATTCAGTGTTTTGCAATACCAAAATATAGTAAACATTTGAAGAATACTTTATGATGCCTGAACGTGGTATGTTAAAGTATGCAATTCTTAGATTTTTTTACTATTTCTTATGCTTATCTCATATGGACAAGTACTGTTAGGTAGGGGTTTCAGTGGGATCTCGAGTCAGATGCACGGATGCGTTTATGATAGCATGTACTACAGGTCTGCATTTCTTAAATGCAGTTGCTGCATGTGAAGTCTCCAACAAGTCACTTTATCAGCTGAAGCGTAGAATACACACAATTTGTTGAGAAATTAAAATGATGGGGTTGTATATCAGCACCACAAATTAGGTTCTGATTGTTATATTGTGAAAGTAGGAGCAGCTATAGGAAAAGTTTTTAACCTTTGTCAAAATTATGTTTTCAAATAATCCAAGACAAAAAAACAGGGCTTTTTTTTTTTTTTTTTTTTTTTTTTTCCTTGTGATAACCAAGATATGTGGAGAGAAAAATATTATAATTCAGAAATTGTTCTGTGGGAAATACTGCTATTTTTATAAACCAAGTCTCCTTTTTGAAATATATCTCCTATTACATGTTTTGATTCCTCCTCTTGATGGTATCAAGAGGTGTGGTGTCCCCTGATTGTACCAAGGGAATCTTTGAATTATGCTCAGAATAACATAGGCTGAAATCCTCCCTTCTGAAAGAAGCAAGAAGGAGATCTAAGAAAATCCTATATCAGTTTGATTATCTTGTATCAAACATAAGACACCATTGCAGGACTTTCCACGAAGAGTAAGCTTAATTTTGTTAACAAAATGTCACTTCTGGGGACTTTTTTTTTTTAATTTATATCAGAAAACCTAAGAAGTAGACTTAGAATTTTGTTATGGTTGTTAAAAATGAGGGTTTTTTTTTTTCTGTTGAAAAACATTTGTAAGGGAAAGTTTTCATCATAGTCTAATCTCAGTCCTGTCTAGTCATTTTTATATTCTATAAGGAGGTCAAAGTATGTTATATCATGGATAAATCTAAGACACATATATTTGATTTCCATCTCTGGTAGAAACAGATTTTAATTGTAAATTAATTAATGCTTTCTTATGTGGCACACACATATATTTCACTCATTTCACTTATTTTTTACTTCCTCCCACTACATCAATACATCAATTATATTTAATATATAAATTAAATTTAATACATCAATTGTATTTAGAAATGTAGCATCCTTTGAAACAAAAGTGACTTAAATATTGAAACATGTTTAAACATTTGAGTCTCAAAGTATGATTTAAGGTATCATAAAGCCATATTTTTCTTCAAAACATTTTTTTCATGAATTTTTTAAACTGTATTTTCTTCAGAAAGATTTTAAAGAATAAACTGACTTTGTACAATATTTACAGGTCCTTTTCCTGCAAAACCATCTTGTAATATTGATCATTCATATATGCAATAGCATTTAACTGTTCTGTCAAGGATGACGAGAAATCTATGATTGTGACGTAGTCTGTCAGTATAAAATATTCATCCTAGAACTCAGAGATTAACATATAAATAGTTTGGCATATCTACATGAACACATTACCGTGGTGTAAATTAGACATATATTTACACCACATCAGCTATATTATATAAATTTCCTTATTAATACCTTCTGACATTTACTGAGAAATGATTGTGTGCTTAGGTTGACTAACCAGGTAAAAATTGAGATCTTGTAAATTGACATCATTATTCTAACACATGTCATTAATGACAAAACAAAGACCAGGCAGCCAGAATAAGGAAGAAAAGGCTTATTAGTAAGCAGTTTTTCTGGACACAAATAAAATGTTTTATTTTGATAATATAAAATTCAAAAACAGATTTAATAGTTTAGCCAACCAAAGACCAAAGTCTTTTTTCCACTCTCTGAATTTTTTTTTTTTTAAGGTAAAGTAGATATCTGTATTCCTTCTATAAACAGAATGACCTTTTAAAAATCAAGAGTTCCTTTGCAAAATAAAATTTGTGTTCTGTGCAACGGAATGTAATCTTGCTAGCTATAAATAATTCAAAAAAGTGACAAGACTTTTTTTTTTAATCACAGTTTTCTTTTAATAGAGTTATGACTAAATTTGATAACCAATGGGACTTTTTAAAGCACTGAGATTTATATTTTCAAATAAGAATATTAAAAGTGAGGAAGGGTAAGAATAAATAATGCTTCTTAAGCAAAAACTTCTAATGCAAACCATTTGTATTAATTATTGACATCGGCACTGTAGAAATGACACTAGAGTAGTATAAATACATCCTACATTATATTATTTTTACCATTAAAGAGATTACATTTGCTGTTTTTAAAGACTTATGCCCAACATGCTTCTTGTTCCTCGTGTCTCAAGAAGATCCTTCCATCAATGTCTGCATTAGAGCTAAATTTGTCCATTATTTAAAACTCATAGTAGTAAAAATTTCAGAAGGGCCCAGTAATTCAACATGTACCAAAATATTTCCCCTTTACAAGAAAAAAGTGGGTTTTTATCTTGAGTAGAATACATTTTTCATTCTCCAAGAATTGTTGACTATATATATGATCCTTTAACAACACTGTTTTGCAGTATTTTGTTATTCATGTAAAAATCTTATGTTTATAGTATGTTTACATGTTTGACAGTTGTGCTGTCTTTGTGTATGTGATAGCTAACGCTCTAGAATATAAATTACCTGTCATTTAAGAATAGATGTAACTAATGACAATATCCTAAATCTCATGCTGTAGGATATAGGGGAAAAAAACAAAAAGACCAAATATTATTTATTGTAAGTCACATGCATATGATGTCAAAACATGTGCAGGATAATTTCTGCATGATGTATCACAGGGCAGACAACTATACATAATCAAATGATGTAAAATATATTCATATTGTGGTAGCCCTAAAAAAGAAAGTTGGATTTTGTCATCATATTTATTTCTAGTGATAAAAGAAGTCCCTCCTTACTGTAGATCTTTTTCTTCTCAGTGTACAAATAGCAGTCCTTCCCATATTAATTTTCCTATTATTCACAGCAGTGATGTTGTGGCATACACTGAGGTTCAACAACAGGGCAGGCAATACCAATATTCATTGCCATCTCCTCTGGCTTGGTCATCGAGTAGGTACTACATGTTGGACTCACAGATAGTGTCACCATCACAGATTAGAAGAGGAACAACCAAAGTTGTTCCATGACCAGTTGTTGTCTACCGATTTCTGTCCTTAACTGTTTAGTTGATGCCTTCTGTCTCTGCTTTTCAAGTCACTGTATAATTTCACCTCCTGTGGATACCCAAGATCTGACAGCTTCACTTCCACTAGATGGGCACAGTCTGTCCATCAACTCCTAGGAGACCTTCTGATCTTGAACAGTGTTTGGATTTTCTAGTAGCTCATCTAAATTGATCATAGTGTATTTCGTTGGGTATGTCTTTACAAGTATGAATACACTAGAAATAAAATAATAACAGTCAAAATATCATGGGTGAGATTTTGGTGAGGGGCATGATATTTCTAGATGGAAAAACCCTTTGGTTTTAAAGAAACGTGTATTTAAAAAAAAAACCAAGCCCAATAAATTCCCCTTAAACACTTTATTCTTTAATAAAGGGAACAAGAATGTAAATAAAACATACAAAACCTAAAATTTTTAACTATACTTCATTTCTGACTTTTTATCAAAAGTATATAATTCTGTCATTAAGGACTGGAGACTGTCCAAGAGTACATTTTTCAGAATAGTAAGTGCTGAAGTGTTTAAGTGGTAATGACTTCCCAAAATTGTTTGGAGTACTATAGGTTTCTCCATATTAATCACAGCCTTGTCATTAGAGTTGTCCTTAGAAATATTTGTTTTCATATTTGATTTTTAATTGCTATAGATTTTTATCTGATATCAGATATTTGGAGTTTCCATATTGGGTAAAATATTGGTAGGAACAGATGTAGTTTATACTCGAGGTAGTAACTGATATTGCAAAGCGTATAATAAATCACCCCTGTGAAATGGAGATTACTCAATAAAATATTAATTAGTAGATTACTGTAATATTAATATTAATATTAGTGTTTTAATGTCAGATTATGTGCACATTGATATGTCTATAGGCAAGAACAGGTACTTTAAATGTAAATTAAATAATGAAAAAAACTGACTGTTTTTTAAAAATAAAATAACTGACAATAGCAAATATTTGTTTTATGATATTTTGGCATTAAATATAACTTTACTGTGAATAAACATTTGAAAATACTTTTAATTTATAGTAACTTACCATGAATATAAATGCAACTTTAAATTATAATTAATCATTGTCATAATTTTCTTAATATATTTATTCCACAGTATTTTTTTTAACCCAGCATGTTGCCAAGGAGGTTGATAAATTAAAGCTTTAAATAAATGGTTTGTTGTACTTCAGAAATCATTGACTTAGATTAGCAAAGTTGATAAATACTACCTACTTGTATTATTGAGGGCCATAAAAAATATGAAGATCCCATATTATTAAAATCAGGAGCCTTTGAGATGCTTGCTCTCAAATTGCTAGTGGAAGTGGGGATGCTTTGTAATATTGTCAGCTAAGATAACAGCTAAGATTATTTGGAGCTGTTTTGTTAGCCAAATGGTGAGGTACTTTCAGTAGGGACAGAGCATTTCACAGCTGAGAGAAGCAGGAGGGAAACTCTGGTGTGCAAATACTTGCTGTAGGATATTCTTGGTATTTTTGTCATCTAAAGAAGGAGATAGAGGTGCTTGTTATTCAAAATGATGTAGAAGGATCTAGAAGCTACAGGAATGACTAGGGGTGTTTAATTAGGCATGAGAAGACATTGGTTATGATGCTTGGTCAGGTATGCCTGCCTTGTTTGCTTCCGTATTTCCTTTGATCAATAGCTGACCATCACGCTCTTCTCCCTACAATTACACTTCCCTACCAGCAGCTTACCTTTGTATTGCAAATTTACTGAGAATCCTCTTTTTATGAGATACTCAGATGTTTGTACAGTGCCAAACTGCAGATATGGGGACATTTCAAATTGCATTAAATCATGCTTCAATACTACATGTATTCTGTTACATGCTACAATGTGTAACACTTAAATCAACAAAATGAAACCATAGGTCCAAAATTTGAGAACTGACATATTGCTAGACAATTATAAAAGATTAAATGGGCAAAGAAAGGAGCAGAACCTGGAAATACTGCAGGCTGACATTTGGAAAGCTATATTACTTTGTATTTAGAACTATGTAGACTGTTTTGAAACATAGGTAATTAAAATCTTCATTTAAATTAACCCCCAAACAACTTGTCCCATGCATATGTGAGCAAATAGATAATCATCAAATAGATAATCATTAGTAAAGTGTTCTGAAAACAGTTAAATACAGTATTTGTTTATACTGAAAGATAGAAAACCATCTTACAACAAATGAAATCAGTTGCCAGTGCGGACAGCCATGCAAAGCATAGTTAGTTTCAATGCAAAAACTCAGAATTTTAGGAACTTTTTGTATTATTTTAATAGCTTTGAATAACAGAATTAGTGTTCAGTCTTTTATGGCTTAATATAATTCTTCTTGGCATCATAATTTTTCATCTGAGACATTAGCTCATCTTGTAGAGAAAAATTCACATGTATTTAATTGCCTGGAGATATTAAGAATTTATATATAAATATATACACACGCGTATGTATTTATTTTTTTAGGAAAAGGAGGATGAAAAATCAGATACATCAAGCTCTCAGCAACAGAAAAGTCCACAAGGTCTGAGTGACACCGGGTATTCTTCTGATGGGATATCAAGTTCACTTGGTGAAATTCCAAGTCATATCCCCAGTGATGAAAAGGATTTACTCAGAGAATCTAATAAAAAAGACACTATTTCACAAGAAAGTCCACCAAGCCCCTCAGATCTAGCTAAATTGGAAAGTACTGTACTGTCTATTTTGGAAGCTCAGGCAAGTACTCTTTCTGATGAAAAATCTGTGAAAAGCAAAGAGCTTTATGAAATCTATGATGAACAGACAAAGGATCAACATAAAACAAAGCCTTTGCCAGTCACTCCAGAATCTTACAGTTCAGATGAGGAAGACTTGGAAGCTGTTCACTGTGAAGGAACCATTGTAGAAGATGGAAAAGGAAGTTCTTCCTCCCAGGCAGACTACAAGGAAGAAGATGAAGGAGATGACATATCAGCAAGAAGACAACGCTATGATTCTGTAGAAGACAGCAGTGAGAGTGAAAACTCCCCTGTCCCAAGGAGAAAACGAAGAGCTAGTGTTGGTTCTTCAAGCAGTGATGAATACAAACGAGATGACAGTCAGGGCTCAGGTGATGAGGAAGATTTCATTAGAAAACAGATTATAGAGATGAGTGCTGATGAAGATGCCTCAGGTTCTGAAGATGATGAATTCATTAGAAATCAATTCAAAGAAATCAGTATAACTGAGAGCCAAAAGAAAGAAGAAGTGAAAAGCAAAGCCAAAGGAACAGCTGGAAAACATAGAAGAATGGCACGGAAAAGTAGTGCAGGCTATGATGAGGATGCAGGAAGAAGACATTCATGGCACGACGACGATGATGAGACTTTTGATGAAAGCCCAGAGCCAAAATACAGGGAAACTAAAAGTCAAGACAGTGAAGAACTTGCAGTAACTGGAGGAGGTGGCCTTCGGCGTTTCAAAACAATAGAATTAAATAGTACAATAAGAAATAAATACTCTGAAGCATCTGAACAACAGAAAGGTATTTTATATTTTGATGAAGAGCCTGAGCTAGAGATGGAGAGTCTTACAGATTCACCAGAAGACAGATCTAGAGGAGAAGGATCTTCTAGTTTACATGCATCTAGTTTCACACCAGGTACATCTCCTACTTCAGTGTCATCACTTGATGAAGATAGTGACAGCAGTCCTAGTCACAAAAAACTGGGAGGGGAGAGCAAACAGCAGCGCAAAGCCAGGCATCGGTCACATGGTCCTCTTCTTCCAACTATTGAAGATTCTTCAGAAGAAGAAGAACTACGGGAAGAGGAAGAACTGCTAAAGGAACAAGAGAAACAGCGTGAATTAGAACAGCAACAAAGGAAAAGTTCTAGCAAAAAATCTAAAAAGGACAAGGATGAACTAAGAGCTCAGAGAAGAAGGGAACGTCCAAAGACTCCACCAAGTAATCTTTCTCCCATTGAAGATGCATCTCCAACAGAGGAATTACGACAGGCAGCAGAAATGGAAGAGCTACACAGATCTTCCTGTTCTGAATATTCACCTAGTATTGAGTCAGATCCTGAAGGATTTGAAATCAGCCCAGAAAAAATAATAGAAGTACAAAAAGTTTACAAATTGCCTACTGCTGTCTCTCTGTACTCACCAACAGATGAACAACCAATTGGACTTCCAAAAGAAGAAAGTGGTCAAAAGACGTTGAAAAGTGCTGAAGAGGTATATGAGGAGATGATGCATAAGAACCATAAGTCCAAGTCATTTCAAATTGCAAATGAAAAAGATGAAGTATTTGAAAAAGAATCTTTATATGGTGGAATGCTAATAGAGGATTATATTTATGAATCTTTAGTAGAGGATACTTACAATGGAACTATTGATACTAATCTTGTAATGAGACAAGATGAGAGCAGTGAATATTTACAACAAAGGGGAAGAGAGAAAAAAATAAGAGCTTCAGAACAGATCTATGAAGAGCCACAGAAAATTACTGATCTACAGAAAGACTACTATAGTGTTGAGACTTTACATTCTATTGTACCTCAGGAAGATATTGTTTCTAGTTCTTACATTATCCCAGAAAGTCATGAAATAGTTGTATTAGACAGCACAGTATCTTCCACCACTGAGGAAAAGCAGTTGTTAGATGCAGAAGCTGCTTATGAAGAACTTATGAAAAGACAGAAAATGCAGCTAACCCCTGGGTCCAGTCCAACACAACCAACTTCAGATTTCATTCCCACATCTGATACAAAGATATCTAGTGTTGGAGAAATAGTGGATAGTGCATCTTTAACATCAAGCACTACTTCAGCAATCTCAGATATATCACCTGTCAGTAGCACAGCACTTTCTATTCCAGATGTTAAAATAACACAGCATTTTACAGCAGAGGAAATTGAAGATGAATACTTAACAGATTATGCCAGAGAAATTCAAGAAATAATTTCTCATGAAACATCAATGTTGACGTACTCTGAGACATCGGAAGGTGTTGCATCAGTTTTACCTTCTGATACAGCTTCCCTAACATCATCTACATCTTCGGTTTGTACCACAGATAGTTCATCACCTATAGATAGTGCAACCACGGGTTATGTAGATACAACAGATGCTGTAAGTAAACTAGCAGATTCTGAAGGTGTTAGGATAATAACACAAGTTCCCTTGGCATCTACAAAAGAGTACTCTGAAGTGAGCATGCCTTATGAATGTATTGCCGGAGCCTCTAAAAAGCCATCTATAGCATCAGTTACGGAAAATGTGGATCAAGCTGAAGTTTGTTTGCCTGAAACTGCACCTTCAGTAGTGGCAACTACAGTTATAAAACCCATGCAATATGCAACTGATGCCATTACCTTTGATACCTCCAAAGCAGAAAAGGAAGCAGCTAGAAAAATTAAAATTACAGTAGATGCTGGCAAAGAATTGGGTGTTGATATGACAAGGATTAATTTGACTAGTGCTACATCTGAGCAAACACCTGTATGTATAGCATCAGTACCAGTTGCAGAGCCTGCATCAGAATCAACTTGTGTACCTACTCCCAGTGTTGTAAGTAAGACCAGCATGGTCTCTGTGCCTTCCTCAGCTCCTGCTGTAACATCCAAAGTATTCTCTCTTTTTAGAAGCTCTTCTTTGGATTCTCCTGCACAACCTTCTCCACCCCCACCTCCTCCTCCTCCACCACCTCCTCCACCACCATTACCTCCACCTATTTTACCCAAGCCAGCCATTTATCCCAAAAAGAAGTTGCAGATTAAGACTCCAGCCCCAACAGCTCCCACAGTGGTACCTTCAGTCACAAGTGTTCCAACGCTAGAATCCACAACTGTATTAAAGAATCATGTGGTACCTGTCACAAAAACATACACCCCAACACCACCTCCTGTACCACCTAAACCATCCTCCATTCCAGCAGGTCTTGTTTTCAGTCACAGGCCTGCTGAAGTAACTAAACCTCCAATTGCTCCTAAACCAGCAGTTCCTCCACTCCCAATAGCTGTTCATAAACCAGCAGAAACACAGCCCAAACCAATAGGTTTGTCATTGACTTCAAGTATGACTCTGAATTTGGTCTCTGCAGCTGAATACAAAATAGCGTCTCCCACTTCCCCTTTGTCTCCACACTCTAACAAATCTTCACCAAGGTTGACAAAACCCTCACAGGAAACCTATGTTGTCATCACATTGCCATCTGAGCCTGGAACTCCCACAGAAGCTATAACTAGTCAGGCTGTTACCGGCTGGCCTTTAGAAACACCTTCTAAAGAACATATTCCCCATCCTATGCAACCAATTTTTACTCCATCTATGAAAACTATGGAAATTCAAGGTATGGCAGATCAGAGTATGTATATTTCAGGTGCTTTGCACGCTGTTCCTGTCACAACACAATCAACTTTTGAAAAAATACCTAGTTCAAAATCAGAAGTAGTAACAACAGAGGTAGCTAAGACCACAGTGTCTGTGGTTAAGGGCCCAGTGCCTGGTTTTGATTTAGGTAGTGTCGCTATTACTATACCTCCAGAGCCACTACATATAGTAGATCAACCTAGGTATAGAGAGAATGGAAGATTCCATCCTTTGGGTGATATCATAGATCTTCGCACTTTAACTAAGATGGATATTGAAATGAGAGACAGCTGTATGGATCTGTCTGCTGTTTCCATGGATGTGAGAAGGCAAATACCAGCAAGTGATACATGTGGGCGGCAAGTAAGTACTGTCCAGCCAGCTATAATAAATCTTAGCACTGCATGTGTTGCCGATCCTTCTCTGTCTGTAGTCACTGAGACAGTAACTGTAATGACCTGCACTGCCACTGTAAACTACACTGCCAGTACAGACAGCCTTGTGGATCTGGGACATGCAATGACAACGCCACTTCAGCTAACAACATCAAAACATTTTGAGCCTGCATACAGAGTAACAAGCAGCCAGGTGTTCTCTGCAGGTAGAGATGAAGTGCCAATAAATTTATCCCTAGGTACTTCAACACATGCAGTGACATGGGCCACAACAAAGCCTGTTACTGTACCACCTGTTGGTGTTACAAATGGTTGGACTGATCTCTCTGCTTCTCAGGAACCAGTGGAGAGTGGAGCAGTTGACCTTAGCACTACAAAATCCCACAGAACAGTAGTAACAATGGATGAAACTACGTCAGGTACAATAACAACAGTAATAGAAGATGATGAAAAGCCTGTGGATCTGACTGCAGGGAGAAGAGCTGTCTGCTGTGATATGGTTTATAGATTGCCATTTGGTAGGAGCTGTACAGCACAACAGCCACCAACTACACTACCTGAAGATCGCTTTGGTTACAGAGATGACCATTATCAGTATGATCGTTCAGGGTCATACGGCTACCGAGGAATGGGAGGTATGAAATCGTCTATGTCTGACACAAATTTATCGGAAGCTGGACTGTTTGCATACAAAAGCAAGAATAGCTTTGATTATCGAGTTGGGGCAACTGATGCAGCAGTAGATCTTACTTCTGGAAGAGTTACTACAGGTCAGTATGACACAGCAGCAGATCTTTCTTTGGCATATGATTTTGATGTTCCTCACCTCATTTCAGGATGATTTTTTTATTATTTTTCCCCTCTTTCTGTTGTTTTGTTTTCTTTTGGACAGTGTGACAAATTATTCTGGATTACAAGTGGTTTTCATTTCTTCATTTTACATGTGTTTTGCACAGAGATGCCTGCATGTGCCTGCATGTTCAGAATTGCTGTTTTCTTCACATCTAAAATAGATCATTAACCTGAAGATTTGCATGCAGTTTTCCCTTCCCATTTAATTCATCAAGATGGGATCACTTTCAGAATCCGCAAAGCAGCGTTCTTTTGTGGGACTGGACTGTAACTTTGCCCTGTAATTTCAGGTGAGGTTATGGATTACTCAAGCAAGACTACTGATCCCTATCCAGAGACTCGACAGGTGATTTCTGGCATCGGGCTCAGTACACCACAGTATTCCCAAGCAAGAATGGTATCATCTCTGGGTTCCCAGTTTGGCATTGGAAGTGTTTTAAGATCATCCAATGGTGTTGTTTATTCTTCAGTAGCGACTCCAATCCCATCCACATTTGCCATCACTACACAACCCGGTTCTATTTTCAGTACAACTGTCAGAGATTTGCCTACTCTCCAAACAATTGACTCGGTGCCCTCTTTATCAACTTTGCAACAGAATCAGCCGCTCCCAAGATCATACAGTTTCTTGACAACAGTGGCAGCTGAAAAAGATAGTGCAATTACTGCCATTGATATGGAGACAGGGTTACCACCTCTTACTATAGAAGCTATTACCACGGAGCCAACCAACTTGATACCTGCTTTAACTACAGCATCTGAGGTTTATACAGATGTAATTGAAGATGAGGTTGCCCTTCTCATTGCCCCTGAAGAAGGAAAACAGCAACAGCTAGATTTGGAGCGTGAACTTCTTGAGCTTGAGAAAATTAAGCAGCAGCGCTTTGCAGAAGAGCTGGAATGGGAACGTCAGGAAATTCAAAGATTTAGGGAGCAAGAAAAGTTTATGGTGCAAAAAAAGCTTGAGGAGTTGCAATCCATGAAACATCATCTCTTATTTCAGCAAGAGGAGGAACGACAAGCTCAGTTTATGATGAGGCAAGAGACATTAGCCCAGCAGCAGTTGCAGCTTGAACAATTCCAACAACTTCAGCAACAGCTCCACCAACAGTTAGAGGAACAAAAAATTCGTCAAATATATCAGTATGGTTATGACCCTTCAGGAACTGGCTCACCACAAACTACCACAGATCAAACACTTTTGGAAGGACAGTATACAACCACAGAAAATGGCCAGTTTTGGCCTACTGATGATGCAACCACAACAGCTTCAGGAGTGCTGGGTATTGAAATTCCACAAAACCAAACATGGTACACAGTTCAGTCTGATGGCATTACCCAATACATACCAAGGTCTGGTATTCTAAGCTCTGTTTCAGAAATGTCTCTGAAGGATATTGATGTTAGGGAGGAGAAGCAATTGAAAAAGAGAAGTTCTATGCCAAAATTACGTGGTCCATATGAGGAGCTTGAGGAGACCCTGGAAGAAGAGCCCCGGTGCTTCAAAAAAATAGTGGACAGTGGAGTGCAAACTGATGATGAAGACGGAGCAGACAGAGGTTATGCAAACAGAAGACGGAGATCTAAGAAGAGTGTTGATACGAGTGTACAGACAGATGATGAGGATCAAGATGAATGGGATCTTTCCAGCAGATCTAGAAGGAAGCCTCGTGTAGGGAAATACAATGAGAGTACCACGGAGGCAGACAAAGCTAAACAATTCTCCAAAGTATCTAGTATTGCAGTTCAGACAGTGGCAGAGATTTCAGTACAAACAGAACCTGTAGGAACAATAAGAACACCTTCAATCAGGGCCCGATTGGATGCTAAGGTTGAAATCATAAAGCACATTTCAGCTCCAGAAAAGACTTATAAAGGAGAAAGTTTGGGATGTCAAACAGAGACAGAGTCAGATACTCAGAGTCCCCAATATCTGTCAGCGTCATCTCCTCAGAAAGATAAAAAACGCCCAACACCATTAGAAATAGGATATTCATCTCACCTTCGTCCAGACTCCACATTGCAGGTAGTCCCTTCCCCTCCCAAATCTCCCAAAGTTCTCTATTCACCCCTTTCACCTGTTTCACCAAGCAAAGTTATAGAGTCAGCATTTGTACCCTATGAAAAACCCATCACTGATGACATCAGCCCTCAGAAGATGCTGCATGCTGACATTGCCAAGGTTCCTCCATCAAGCCCAAAGGCAGCAAAGATGATGCAACGCTCTATGTCTGATCCTAAGCCCCTGAGTCCCACAGCAGAAGACAGTTCCAGAGCTCAGTTTCAGTACACTGAGGGTTTCATGGTAAGAAGTATTTGCTTTCTTTTTTCATTTTTAATATGTGATTCTACGGCTTTCAGTACCTCATGAGGACTGACACACACATTCGCAATACCTGTGTATATAGTCTTTTTTCACACCTTGCTGAAAAGTCATGAGGAATGTCTGCTGTCTAAAGCAATGGTTATTTGCTTCATTGCTTTGCCTGGAAATATAGGAATCTACATAACAGCCTTACTACGATTCAGAAAAAAACCACAACAAATTATTGTTCAGAATTTGGAAGGCGCTTTATGTTTTACATGGCAATTAATTGCCAATATAGTGGTTACTTCCAATTCTTCAGAACATGAAAAGCATTTTCTTTCTAATTATACAACACGCAGCTCTTATGGCACAGTCTGTGGTGCATTTACCTTGAAATTACTGCTTGTGCTGCCTGAGAGACAGCTAACACCTTTAGTTAGCTGTCCTTTTTGACCCATATGAAGTTTCTTGGCCATATGTGATTCTGTGGGTAATCTTTTGTCCCAATGTGTACATCATTTATCTCTCCCAGACCAAAAGGACTCTTACAACAAATACGGGTTTTGTTTGCTTGTTTTGGATAACAATAGTTAACAAGAAGTTATGTAAATGTTGAGGGCTGTTTCTTATGGGATCAAAGGAGGCAATTTTGAATAGGGATTACATCAACAGGATTAAAATTTTTCATTTCTGCAGTATTCCTTTTCCTTGAGTAGTAAGATTTCTGATTTCGGAATCAGTCCATTATTTTTAAATAAGAAGAAGAAGTCTTGGCTAAAAAAATGCCTTTGTAATGTAACATGTTCCTGGCCATCTTTTTGTCTAAGTCCATTCTCTTCTGTTGGTTGAAGGATCAGTATCTTATTTGTCAGAGCTCTGGAAGAGTTGCCATTCGATTTCTTCAGCAATTTTCATCTTTTCTGTTCAGTTATCTGTGAATACATGAGTGATCAGTACAGGCTGGATAGAATAAAGAGGGTTTGTTCTCTATATTTGATAATTTGTGGTGCCTTTCAACTGCAGAATTATCTGGTTATACCCTCTAAAGCTCCTGCTGTAAGCAGTGTCTGCAGCTTCATATATTTGTGTGGATATTAAATGCTTCCTGTGCTGTTACTGCTTGGAAAACAGCCCTTGGAAGTTTGAAGGGAAAACTGTAGTCATGGCATTGGCACTCCATATCAACATCATGCCCTAATGCAAGATTAGCGCAGTGGGGGAAACTAGCACAAGCACTAAAGCTCTATGTAGAGGGTTTGGAACAGCATTTTGAAGAACACTGCTCATGAGTTAGAAAGTGTTGGGTTCCACTAGATATTGGAGACTAGGAGTAATATTGTAAAATAACTGTCAGTGTAGGGAAACTATCACTGAGTACAACTATCACTTATTTTATAGATACATATATATTTGATATGAATTGTATACATTGTATGATGGATGATAAATTCTATAAACAGCTAATTGTTTAAAGGCCTTTACAGTAGAGTTTGAACACATAAAGTATTCATTAATGAGACATGGAAACAAAAGGCTTGTACATCATTGTTTATCTTTTTACCTATATGTTTATTACCTTTTTGCCTCAAGCCCAGCTATATTGTTCTTACCAGCATGCAGCCATCAGGCATCAACTAGCCCATGTCTCAAAATACTTAGAGTCTAAATAGATGAGGTGGATGTTTTTATGGAACACGGGGTGCAAGTAGACAAGTACAAGGAAAGTAAAAATCTTCCATGGATATCACATGGGCTGCACTAACTGTCATCATATATGGTGAGGAAGCTGATCTGTAAACCTCCTTTGACCATCATGGCTCCTTTCAGCTCTGATGTTATGTTAAGCAGTCTGTTACACTCTCTCTTTCTGACAGAGTTTTGTTAATTATCTGAGGTTCAGTTAGCGTAGTCTGGGATAAGGTACATGAAATTTAAAGGTAGAAAAGAGATATATGAAAAAAAGAAAATACTTAGAGTGACACAGAAAGTAATCTGATGACCTCATCAACATCTGGAAATATGGGTATAAATTGCTTTTGCAGTTGCTATATCAGTTTCAGTTCTCGATTACTCAGTCCAGTTCTGATGTGAAGGAGGGATCCGCAGTATAAATTCTAAATGATCTCCTAGTTTCCACAACACTTACAGTATTGTCTCCAGCACATCTATGTTTATACCATCTGAGAACATCGTTTTAGGACTGTAGAGTCTTGGAAGCACAGGAAAGAGTGGAGAGTGATTTCTTCTTTTGTACCTTTTGTCACACTGAAAAGTTCTTCCTGAAGGGTATCATACACACAATGTCACTGCTGACAAAGTGTAAACTTTGTGGACATTTTTTCAACTGTAGAACTGGGTTGTTATAGCAACATATCATTGTTATACTTGAGTTTAAATATAGGATCACTTTTGGATTATCCTGCTAAGTGTGAAAGTGAGATGTTTCCTCGACATTAAAATATTTTTGGCACTGGGACTGTTTTTCATTCTTTGTACAGTGCCCACATGAACTAAGGTCCATGTCTGCTAATTCTCTGTGTGCTCCTTTTGTGCTTCCTGACTGGAGAGCTCCTAATTGCTTAATTATAAAAAGGAAAGGTAGAAGGGATCAGTTATGCAATTCAAAACAATGAAGTTCAGTGCAGAAGAACTTGTGAAACAGCTCACTCTGGAAAAGAGAATTTACTAGACCTAAACATAAAAGAATAAAATGGAAATGAAAGATTGATCTGTCACTACCTTAGGAAAATGGAGTGTGCATGCATATGAATATTTTTTTGCATGGATGAATATCCCATCATTTTTTTAATAGTTCTTGTTTCAGGGTTATGTCTTTGTCTGCAATCATAAAGATTGTAGGTGAGAAGGGTGTGCATGAGTTCATGGATATTTCACAGGCTTATTTTTATAACAGTTTATCAGAAAAGTTGATCCTTATGCAATCACTGGGACTAAAAGGGTAAGAATAAAATTAGTCTCTTTCTAAGGATTACAATGAAAGGTAACTTGTCCTTCAGGCAGTGCACTTCCATCATTCATGTGCTTCTTCCATTGAAAAATATATTTACTACAACATTTCAAGAAACAAGACTATGGAGACTATGACTAAGATGATTAAATTATGTCTCTGTGTTTTAGAACTGCTGCATTAAATATAACTTTATTCTTTAATGCACCTTTTATAGGAAGTTATTACAATGATTTATCTAATGTAGTATAAGTGAAAGGCTGAAAAATAACTTGGCAGCTAATTACAGAATAATAAGTATCCAGATAATATTGCTTTCAGTGATGGCACATTTAATTTTCAAGTAACAAGTTATATGTTTACATTACATTTTCATTTACTGTTTATCATAGTCGTTGCCTCTATATGAACACTTGAATGAACATAGATGGTGACTTCCTATTAATCCAAAGTAAAAGTATTGCTTTTCATTATGTTCACTTTCGCAGTTCTTACGTGCTGTACATTTCTGTGATATATATTAGTAAACAAGTGTAGTTGTTTCAGGGAAAAATTGTGAGCTACAGGCTGTCAGCACCTAAAAAAAGTTGTGGAAGCCACCCATCTGAAATTGATACTTCACAAAGATACCTAATTTTCCTGTTTTGTGTGCTTTGTGCCACTTGAGCTCCCAGTGCCACTGAGCTCCCCGGCACCGACTTTGATAGAATGTCCTGCAGTCCAGCAGGGTAGGATTCCACAGCATGTAAAGCCATAGCCATGGTTTCCATGAGGGCACTGGCAAGTGTTAGTAGAGTGGAGATTGAAATTTTTCCATTCAGCAGCAAGAAAAAATTGTGATTACATGTCTAGTTTAATAAAGAAATAGCTTTACACAGGTACATGGCAGAATCAAGCCACATGTCAGTCACTTTGGCACTTGTACACATTGCATATCTGTAATCAAAGGTGGAAGTTGTCTCCCTTTTGCCTTTGGATGCAAAACGCCTGCTCAACTAAACTGAAGTAAATTACAAAAGATCTTGCACATGAACTGTCATACACATATAACATCTACAACTAAGCAGTGCATAAAGACTCAGCAGAAGTGTTTGTATTGGTGAAACTAATGCAAAGACACGTCTGTCAACAGCCTGTCAGCTTCAGGGTAGAAATCGCACATTTAAACTTCAACACTTAGAACAAATTCTATCTGTTATTAAGAGAGTTAACAGAGACTTTTCTTAAATTTTTCATCTGATGTGAGTTGCTGCAATTGTAAGGCAAATACAGTTCAAATCTGCATACTACAGTAAAAAAAGATAATGATTTCAAGCAAAATCCCAAAAGATTGTTTCTTTATTTAGGTAAGAATTGCACTATTTCATCTGTTGCTGTAGTAAGAGCAGAAGTGATTTTATACTGATTTTAAAAGTGCAAATTTCCTTAAAGGACATACATTTAAAAGTAATTAAAATAAAGCACATTAAGCAGTGTTTTATCTTAAGTGATATTCTAAAGTTTTCAACTTTAAAACTGAAGGTTAGGACTTCAGTGATTTGGGCTATCCTTTGCTGTGTCAGACCTCCGGTACATCTGGGCACTAAAGAGAGGAAACAGGGTAGTTGATCCCAGTGGAATTAAAATCTTCCATATATTATATCCATGATGTTTTGCTTGTTTATTCAGGGCTAAGCCAATCATCAGACTTGTGTGACACTGAGGAATGTTCTGCTTGGGTAATGAGTGGAGATAAAGAGTAGGGATAATTACCTGGTTTCGAGTTGGGTATTTGTTACCTTCCTCAGAAGCAAGGGGAAGGTTCTTTCTTAGTGTCATGCCAGAATTTCAGGTAACAGATTTCTGCTATTGGAGCACAGGACATTGTTGTTTCCCCTGGTTTCTTGTTATTTAGGCCTACTTCCAGATAAAAGGGGTTAGTACTTTGTTATAGCTCTTACTGTAAAATATTCAGAAGTGTTTTCTGGTCTGAGAAATAGGTGGTCACATATTTGTAACTGCAAAATAATTAATTCAGTGCCTTACATTT